AAAAAAAAAAACTTTGTGGGATGTGACTTGTATCTCTGTACACTGTTCCCCATTCTGAAGGACCAGAGCTTTCGTGTGTGTGTGTGTGTGTGTGTGTGTGTGTGTGTGTGTGTGTCTTGTTTTGGTGTCCGTGGGCTCAGGCTCAGCACCCACCCATATTCACCATTAGAGGGTGGGCTCCGTGGCACAGCATCCTGGCTTCAGCAGCCAGCATCACACAAATGAACAAATAAAGAAACAAACAGGGGGGCTGGGGATTTAGCTCAGCGGCACAGCGCCTGCCTAGCAAGCACAAGGTCGTGAGTTCGGTTCCCGGTACTGAGGAAAAAAAAAAATCAAAGAGAGATTTTTTAAAAACCCGAGTTCAGGTTTTGGGGGGGTTTGTTGTTGTTCTTTTGCCTTGTTTTTTGTTTTGTTTTTTTTTTGTTTTTAAATGTTTGGTAGGATTTTAATTTATTTATTTTTTATTTATTTGTTTATTTTTGGTACCAGGGATTAAACTCAGGACCTTGTGCTTGCCCAACAGGTGCTGTGCCGCTGAGCTATATCCCCGGCCCTTTACTTTTTATTTGCTTTATTTGCTTATTTTTTACTTTTTATTTTAAAGAGACAAAAATTTAAAGAGAACAAAATTTCAGAACAAGACAATAGGCAGTTAATGCATTGCATATTATGATCTTTAGTTACTCAGAGTATAAGAAATAGGCATTTAATTGTTTTTTGAGACAGGGTCTTGCTGTGTAGTTCAGGCTGGTTTTGAACTGAATGTGATCTTCTTGCCTCAGCCTCCTGAGTGCTGGGATTACAGGTGCGCACCACCACACCCAGCTTCTAATTCCTTTAAAGTAGCATTAATAAATGACATGCATGTTAACATAAGCAACAGTTTATGAAAAATAACTGTATTTCCCACCAAAATTGAAGAGTGGCATTGTGTATTTTTGTAGATCCCTTGAATGTCTGCCTTAATAGAAGACAAGAAGATTCTGTTTCTTCTTCGATTCAATCTGTTAAAATCCATCGTGACTAAAATATGTTAAAATAGCCTGATGTCACACTGACAGGTAACTGGAATGGGGACAGTATTTTAACAGACCCGTCAAATCATTGTGCATTTCTTTCTTTCTTTCTTTCTTTCTTTCTTTCTTTCTTTCTTTCTTTCTTTCTTTTTTTTTTTTTCTTTTTTCTTTTTGAGACAGGGCCTCACTGTGCAGTTTCAGGCTTGCTTTGTAGCGCAGGCTGTTCTCGAACTTGCAAAGATCCTCCTGCCCCAGCCTCCCAAGTGCTGGGATTACAGGCGTGCGCCACCATGCCTGGCCAATTGTGCATATCTTTCTAGCACAGCAAAACTGGATTTGTGGTTGGTTCCTAAAAGTTCATTGCAGTACTAAACCTGAAACCAAATCAATTCACTTTTCATTCTGCATTACATTAAAATGTATTGGTCTGCAGCCGGGCATGGTGGCGCATGCCTGTAATCTGGGGAGGCTGATTGACATGAGTTGGAGGCCAGCCTGTCTCAAAACCAAAAGGCAAGAAAGAAAAATTTGCCAAACGCCCCTCTAAATTAGCAGGGATTTCTTTCTATCAGTCATTCTTGCATATAAAAATAACATTTCCTGGAAGAAGCAGCTAAGC